TAAATAATTAAATACATTATATATTAAGTGTGAGATTAATTCATGGATATTGGCATTGTAGTATTTACGCCGCCGAATGACGTATCAGTGTTCGGAGAGTTGGTACGTTTTCCCCGGACACTGTATTGTATTTGCATAATAACTTGTCTATTACTAGTACATGAATTATTGAAACAGATATACATGTTGTTACAGAGATGACCTCAGTGAACTCACTGGCATCGAAATATCGTGTGACAAACGTATTATAAACTGTTTCACAAAAAAAACACCTTCGTTATTTGGCAATATCCTGTAATTTTACTGTGTATCGGAAATGTATTATCTATATTAAGCTAGATGAAAGTTGTGTTCCAGGCTTTGTAGATTGTGTATGAATCGCAAGATTTCATTTTATCATTGGCTCAACGATCATGGGTAGCTAAGAACACCTACGCCAGTTTTGAGTTACCAAATTGTCCTTCAATTGTATGTCGCCGATTACTTGATTTAAAAAAGAGTTTACAGTATTTTAGTTTTGTTAATCGGACGCGTATACCGTTATCCCGTCACAATTCACCGAGAAACAAACATTTTGCCTTGTTACCCCGGGTCATGTATGAATACTTCAAAAAATACAACGTATTTCGTGTCTCTTGTGTATTTAAAATTAAGCATTTCGTGATTCGTGAGTACGATGTGGAAACTGTTCGTCAAAATAAAAAGATGCTATGCTTTCGACGTCACACAATCAAAGTGTTTAAATGTCTGTGGTTCAGCAAAGCTCATAGTAAATTCGTTATTGTGACTAGTTAACTGTTTGAGCTCTAAAGGCGACTTTTGTAACCATATAATGTTGTAGCCAACTAAGAAATTATTTCATTTGGTGTTCACTGTGTATCTAAAAATCATAGAAAAATTAATAAAAATAATAAAAATATGGCGTTCAAAGGTCTGCAGCCAAACACAATAATGAGGTGAAAATTACGTCCTAAACATTTCTCCATAATCTGAAATGGGAATTCCCCCACGTTAAGTACAAACTGGAATATAACAAACGAAAGTTTCATCAATCTCTTATTCCACAAATTGCATTTCATATATATACATTACTGTATATAACACCTTATGATATTTGTAAGTCGTTCAATTTTAGTCCATTATATATTTTTATTTTGAGATTTTACAGACCTCCAGCCTAGTTTTTATATTTGTAATGTCTATGTTTATTTATTCAATATATTTATTTAATACAAGAAAATATTTTTTGTTCATTCAATTTCAGGTCAACGCGCAAGAGGAGCGACAATTTGACCCATGGCAAAGTGAGCTATATTTCCTAATGATTGTAATCTGAATATAAGAGACCTTTTATGCAACTGGCCATCGGGATTTCCCTACGATTGAGACAGCAGAGGACTCGTGTAGAGCGAGAGAGTAATAAGACTTATTGTTGTCCCTCAAACATTTACCCATTCACTCCCAACATCGCGTCTATTGTTTCTATGACTTTTGTGTTCATTGCATTTGAAATAGTGGATGCGATAGCAAGAGATAACGGTACACTATTTACGGAGCAAAAACTAGTCTCGACGAGCTCTCGGTGGTCTTTTGTGTGTTCCTTTTCTTCTCCATGATTAGTTACGTGGTATGACTTCCATTTTGAATTTTTGGAAATAGAATTCATACTAATTATTTGCATTGAAGAATTGTTTTAAACCATATCAAGCTATCAATTATATGAAAAGTCATCATATTGATAAATCCTTTAAATATAACCCTTATTAAAGGTTCAATTATGGTGAAGTAATTAGAAAGGATACTACATTTATTTCCTAAAACATAACAGTCACGGTGATTTCACATTACTTTATATCTTTTAAAAAATGTCAAGTTCGCATTTTCAGTAGCATATGTTGCTCTTAATACGTTCCGATAACTTATCAACTGAAAACTTTGCATGTAGTATGTCTGACCAGCGTTTTATATGAGAATAAGTAAAATAATTGTGATCAGTCACGTGGTTTTGCTGCCATCTTGGCAAAATGTTTTGCACTTGTTTCTTCTGATGAGCGCTCTAACTGATTGACATGATATTTTGCAAATGAAATGTGTGGCCAAATCCTCATACGAGAAAAGTGGCGAGTGTTGTGTTTCATGTTTATATGTTAGCTAATATAATTCTGATTCAATATTATAATACAGACGGTGTGATAATGTAAATTGAAAGATTAATTTATCTGATTAGTCACAGCGGTTTTTCGACACGTTTGGGCTATCCAATGTAGATCTATAGTATACATTGGAATTGATGAAGAATTCTTGTTTACAAGCGCCGCAACATTCAAAGTTTATCTCGAAACTGACGGACATCCAGTTCAGGAACTGAAAGGGGTGTTCTACCCTCCGAACTATTTCTACATTGTATTGGGACCATTTACTCCTTGCCAGACTATCAAAGCTGCAGTGGACATTTTCGAAGGTGATGAGACAAAATGGATGAACTCTACTGTGACAACAGGTATATGTCTTTAAGTTAGAAGCCTACTTATGAATGCAAATACCCAGAATTTATTCATTTTCCAGTAAATTTGAATATTGAATAAAATATGTTGGGGTCACAGTTTAATTTTCGAGAAAATTATGGTGGTATTTTAGTGGATAGTGACCCTTTTGACAGTATTATAACGCCTTTAGCATAGGATTTATTATGCCATATCTCAAATTGTAACCTGGTGACATAGGCTGAAAAAAATTCATATTGTTAATAATGGGATAATATTGCCGTTAAAAATAATGTAAAAAACTGGGTTTTAAAAAAAATGTCCAAAAACGCATTCTTTCTTTAACGTTGGATTTGTTCTAAAAATAGCGATTTTTAAAAAATATTGTCAGCATACAAAAGAATGCTATTTCATGGTACCATGAGAGAATAGTTTCATGTTTTTACATATTACCTATTCTACCTCAATTGTATGATTCGGTGCCACGAAATAGTGTTTTGACGTACACTAGCTTTCCTTGAAAGCGACAGAGCATGGCCCGTGGGTGACTAGTACAACCTTACCAACTGGATATACGATACACTCAAGGGATCATTAAATTACTTTTAACAAGGGGCATGTCTTTCTTTTTTTGACATTTGTAATGGTCGAGTGGTTCCGTTTTGACCTTTTTTTGGAATCAAAAGGTCGTAATTACGCTGTGTTGTTATGAAGTGTGATACGAGACAATCGCGTGTTCATTACTGCTGCAAAAAACAATTTAAGTGGAGGGTTTTAAGGAATGTTGTTACCAGGTGATTTTTATCAACAATTCGTGCCCCGCATACCCGTATTTAAACAATACAATACGCGACTTGCTATTCCCCTTAAATAGTGTCTTAATTTCCCCTGTCGCGTGATTCTCGCTCGCAACGAGATTCAGTCGGTCATTCGGCCACGTGAAAATAGACTAATTTGAATAATACAATACATTAAATAGAACAGATTATTCAACCTTTAAAATACGTATTTTCTGATGAATTCAGAATGGAACATTGACAGACAGCAAATAACGAACTATTTTGAGCAGTGTTTGATAAATCTGTTTTTATTTGCAGTGAAGGACTAACATAACATATATCATGCTACAATGTTATATTTACATTTTGTTTTTAATTTTATTTCCAGCTTGTCCTTGTGAGACAGCGTCTGAGACAGGTGATCCACATTATTTCACATTTGATAAAAAAAATTTTACTTACCAGGGCCCATGTGGGTATGTTGTGTCAAAGGACGCGTGTAACGGCGGCAAGCCTACATTCGAAATATGCGCCATAAACAGTGGGCCAGAAGAAGACGTGAAAGGTCCTCGGTTCGTGATCGGTGTACGTGTGAAAACGGATAATGACGAATTACTGTTGTCGCCAGACACAGTCCTGGTAATTAACATTCATCACTACGAATATGATAGACCGGAAACGCCAATGGCCGCCGAAATCTCGTCGAGAGCGCGAGAAGCACGAGACTTGTTATGACACTGAAATAGTATTCTATTCTCCCCCAGCACCCCATACTGTTCCCTTAACAAATTTAACCATGTTATTTAGAACAGTGGATGCGAAGATGGGGAGAACACAAAACAAGTTTCGTGGCTTTCGCTGAAAACAATTTCGGCGAGCATTTGTGTGTAAAGTAAATTGATGACAGGCATCAAGACCCAACTATAAACGCGCATGTAATGGTGCATGATTTCAATTGCGACAAAAATAATAAATTGAAACATACTTTATATGATTTCCAAAAACAGTAAAGTAAAGTAATCAACAATGCCTGTATTCATTTGTAGTATGGCGCGGTATCCATGCCACAATTACAATTAAATAATAAAACATGCTTGCGAGGGTAATATCACGATTTGTTGCCTGCCTAGGGGATGGTGGTCATTACCATACTATTGGTGATGCCAGAGCCGAATCGTTATATAGCTCGGATGACCATGTGTTATTTATTTTATCACATCGGACAGACATCCACCATCATATCTACCATGCATCACTCACACCCGCTCTTCCGCAAAATAGCAACACTAGTACTTATATTTGAAGTATGTAATATTTTATTTCATTTATTATAAAGTGAAACATTACTAAACAGTGTACAATTGTTTGCTGAAAAAAACTACGAAATACACACAGTAAATGTTATTTTCAGATCTATACACGGATACTTTTTTTAGTAAACGTGTTTCATTTAGTTTACCGAGTATAACAATTTTGAAATGAATTGAGAAACTCTCAAACACAAGTTGTTTTCCACTCGCCATAAAAAATATCAGAGTGCCGTGGAGGTGACTGAAATAACTTTCTCACGAATATATCACACCTTCTATTCACAAGTCATGCAGCTTAGAGAGTTTTCGGCGAGCATCGGCGTGACACGCGTAGAAATGCTCGCAGCTACGAAGTTTCAATGGCGGCTTTGCCGTACATTTTTGCTTCACATAAAGAATATCCTAAACACCTAAATGGCTGGATTCGCGCCATATTTGTGTATGGTATTTTTAAATGCAAATTCAAATTTCCGAATATGTAAATCAGCGATTGACATAATTAAATTTATTGTAGTGGAATGGCGAGGTTGTGGATAAGAGCACCCCACACGTGTCAAAGGATTACAAGTTAATGACATACACCATAGGCAACACATTCATATTGTACCACACCGAATATCGTTGGTGGATAGAAGTTTTACGTCACGCAGTCCACGCCTACTTGTACCAGGATTCACCACTTCACGGTAACATATGTGGAATGTTTGGCAATGCAGATGGATCTCCGTCCACCGATATGGTTCTTCCTGACGGCACAATCACTACAGATGACAAAGAGTTTGGAAACGCATGGAGATGTGAAAACAGGTAATGGTCGTGGTAATGATTATTATTCACTCGTTCCGACATTCGTGGGATATTTTAGTCAGTTTATTATATTATATTATATAATTGTAATATGATGAAAAATGGGATGCTGCGTGCCTAATTTGCATATTTGTGTAAAACAAATATTGATCTTTATATTCAACGTGTCCGAGTCCCCCACTATTAGTTTGACGTCTCCTGTTGAGATTGGTTTGACATAACTTGTTCTAATCGTACTGAACGTCAAGTGCGCATAGTAAATGAGTCAGCAGCCTAGCTGGCGTTATTTATAGTTTGATTTTCGGAACATTATAGTGGTGACAGTTTACTATCAATAATAATGTTAATTTACAACGATACAGGAGGCATAGTAGCAAGATATACGTAACGGCGTGTGCCACGACAAAACGTATTACATATGCAGAATATATGCAAAAATTAATATGACTAATGAAATGGACTAGTATGTGTCTTTAATTGCTCATTAATGTAATACATATATTGTGTGTGATAATAATAACGTGACATTTGTACGTTTATTTTCACTGCACCTCCAACTGAGTCCACAATGTTGTAACTGTTTGTGCGCCTTGAGTATTCGAACATCCAACCTGCTCATTGTCAATAGTTGAGGTACAATTGTGTCAGTTCTCCAATTTCTAACACTCTAGTGTGGGCAGCTGTGGAACATACAATTTAAATATACTAGTCGTGAATAAAGCCATGGTTGTTGATGTCCACATGTATTACTATATCATTCATACATTATTTTGTAATTCATATTTATAATTCTATCAACAGCTGTGACTATAAAGAACAGCTGGATGCCTTGGAGAAATCATAATGATCTAATATCCAATCCAATTATAGACAGTTTTATGGACTAAATGACTATGGATTATTTTCTTGGTAATACGGTATTTTTGTGGGCTTTTAAATGGTTGACTTTTATCGACAGTCGCGTATGACTATAGTTGTAAGTTACAATTATAGTCGTTTATATACTGTGCAATGTTATATTACTATTTTGTCCTTCAAATAGAGCTGTGTGCAACTGATTTTATTGTTTTTCATTGTAATCACAATAATCAATGTAGATGTTCAACATTTACAAAGTGGGAATGCGGCTTCAGCATTTCATGCTTCGGGTAGATTTGGGAATAAATTGTATTGCAAAGGAAAGCAGACTCGTAATTTATGTTCGTAATGTGTGAGTATATGTAAAATTAATAACACGTCAGAAAACTTGAATCAGCAATACGATTCCTAATCCTGTTATCACATTACATAGACAGTGCTCAATGCAGAGGAGTATATATTTTAGTTTACACTAATACAGCAAGAAGAAATGGATAGACTAAACACGTATTGCCCCTATCGACGTTTTTGCTTCAGTGCAACACTCTTTGAAACATTTTGATTTTTTTCTAGGCTTCGAAAACATGTTATGTTTAGTTAAACCTCGAATATTACAATAGCACATTTGGTGCTTATAACGTCGAGCAAATACAAACTAAAAACGCAACAAAAAGTTCGTTTATTCCCTCAGATTAGATTTAGACAATGAGACTAAGGACGTGTCATGTGAATTTGATGGGGCTATTCCTGATAGTGCTTTACACACCCGAATAAAGATATGTTGTTGTCGGTGTATAAAAAAGGTATGCGTGATTACTTCTCATGAGAGAGGTGTAATTAAAATTCACTCAAAGCTGATCCTTCCTTCACTTTACATTGAATTTTTCACAATGTTCGGGTTAAATACAGGGATACGGCAAAAAGTTAAATGCTCATACAACTTGTGCTTGTTTTTACACAAGTTTGTGTCCGCCCTTTGGATACTGTAGCTTATCGTATGTAAGTTTTCTATTTTGAAATGGTGCACTATAACACGAATGCCCGACGACTGTACTGTATGACCTGTAATGCTCTATGAAACTTCAATATCGCATCCCATGCTTATGTATTATGCATGGTTACATTAGGATATCCAAGTGCTCTACACTAAACTTGTTCTCTTTATCGCTTAATGTCCTTCAAAATATTGTAATTTCTTTATCATTACCGTGTTGTGTGGACTGAACTGCAATAAGTTTATTTTGACGTATTTCTGCACAAAACTGGCAAAAGTGAACTTCGTTTAAGCTCGAAAACAAACCACAAATCTTTACAGACCGGGCATAAACAGTCAAAATATTTTTTTACTGGCACTGCTGTTTTATGACCAACGTAAAATTTTCCAAATTGTGTCTTTAGAGGGCGGCATTCAGGCTTCTTTTAACAAAAGACATTTTAGACAATAATGGAATTACAGGAAGTTAGGTATATAATACATTATTTTACGTTGTTATTACTAGTTGCCATGACAGTATTCTGTTCACAATACACTATGGGTCACCAGCATCGAGTGTCCAAGAACGAAACAATAATTTAACATTGGTCTAAGGTAACGGATAATAAGTTCCACTACATGAAAATGTGCTGAAATAGTAATATGATAATAATGAAAATAACTATGATTAAACATTTTATTGTATTGTATTGTATTGTAATATAAAATGATCGTGCAATCTATGGTTTGAGGAATAAAATGATAGCATGGTCATTCTATAATACGTCTAGGTGGTATGTGGTTCAAAATTAAATTATCAGTTGTCACAGTGTAAGGCCTGTTTATTGCTATTGAGAGGGGCACCCTCAGAACTCCCACTGAAAAGGGGTAATTTCACTGCTAGAACGGGATAGACAAGATAATAGTACTGAAGATACACATACACCAAAATATCAAGTTAAAGCTCCTGATTTTAATACCTCTCAACATAATTGCAAGAAGCAAAGCACAGAAAATGAATACAATGAATAAATTCACTAAAATAGGGGATTGCCTAGGGTAGTGTGCATTGGTTATAACTCAAAATTCCAAGATGTAAAGATGGATTACAGTCAATTGCTTCTGCAACACAACGACGAAGAAATGCAGGAGTCTTTCTTGCAGAGGAACGCTGTTATTCTGGAGGGCACCGCTGAAAGCAGGAGATCGCAGAGCAGTTCATACAAGTTTCAAAGACTGATGATTTAAGCCTGTATTACTCGTCTAACAATATTTCAGCAACAACACATAGGGTACTGCAATGGAAAAGATGAACTCAACTGTCCTGAGTCTGTCAAATTTATAGGCATCAATGGCCCGATTTATTGACACTACCTTGGTTTTCACATGAGCAAAGCAGAATGTGTTTTTTCTAGCAGCTGTCTTCCAACCAGAAACAGAATTCTTGAACTCCCTAGCTCCACCAATATTACCAATAATAAGATCATACACTGGGGTCCCCATAGTGCCTCGACCTCACTAACATAAAAGGGTCAATCTATATATAGTCTAGCTACTGGGGCTTTCTGACATGTACCATCCATCATCACACCGGTACCACTCTCCCCATGCAATTGACTATCCTCTGCCAACTTTTTACCAACTACAACCGAACTACACCCACTATCACGAAGGACCGCTACCTCAGTACTACCAATAAAACCTTGAACAACAGGCAGCTCATGGCCACATTTCAACTCAACTCTATCCCGTCCCAGTAAACTTGGATGCTTACTTGCATCTGTGACTTCATGAGCTACACAAGTAGCACTGACTTCATCTTCCATTCCGATCACATGCCAACATAGCAGCTGACTTAACCTGAGGCATGGAACTTTTATAACGCTTAGTACAACTGACAGCAGAGTGATTTGGATCACCACAATTATAATAGCCTGATTTAGACTGGCTCAATCGACCTGGCCCTTTAATTTTCTGACCAGTGCTCCAGAACTGACCTTTCTGACTACGACTTTGAAACAATGCACACTTCTATTTGCAGGGTTTGAGGTAATATGTCAAAAACATAGTATAAAGGATGCTGATAGTTTTATTTCTGGGAATCATTTAAAATAGGATGTGGTATATTATATAATTTATTTTGAACTTGGACTACAAATAATTACAATTATTGCGAAAACTCGCAGAATACTGGCCTCACTTTCACGTTGTCGTTTTTTCACAGCTGCCTCATTATGGTAAAGTCATTTGAAAATAACACTAATAAAACCTGAAGGTCAATCGAAAGTCATTGCATTGAGTTCATTGCATAAATATTTCCCGGGTTGATGAATTGTCATTACAGTCAAAATATTTTTTTAGTTTCCTGAAATAAAAAATAAAACTGCATATAATATAACATATAATACTTAGTGACATTTGATTCATTGTGATCACTGTAACTACGTATCGTTTGTTTGCGCATTACGTGTACTCGACCTAACAGCTTGTCACATTGTGTTAGTAATCCCTTAAATTAAATATCAACTGATCACTAAGTTGCAATATTAAACACAGTGTATACGTATACATGACAAAGTTAATATTGAACTCATTATACATTACACTCAATTCATGAATTTGGTATGTACGTGTATGTCTTGTATTTCAATTTATGCATTTCGTATGCAAGTTTAATTCGTAGGTTTTTCATAAAACTGTTTATGCACACTTACGTCAGTTTAAAATGATACACATAGCGGGTCTAGTGTTATTCAAAGAAAGACAGTTTTGGGACATGTGCAGGAATAAGCGATGCTCGCTAGAACTGCCGCTGCGCCACTGGATAGTATTTGGGAAAACAGATATTTCTTTAAAAAACTAATTATATGTTGAATATTCTCATATTACAAACAAGTAAACTGCAAGTTTAAGATGTGATGTAACGAAGACTCCTTGGTCAGTAGACAAACAAATTGTTAGATGACACCATACCAATTAATATATTCAAGTACGTGAATCAATTGACAGATAAGTAGTTATGAACAGATACTGGATGGTATGTGTGTGTGTGTTTTGCAATACACAAAAGAGACAGAAGACATATGGGACCGATACTATCAAGGTATCGTCTTGACTAACTAAACTCTTGTGTGACTCACTACAGCTTGTGTGGTCAACACAGTGCAAACTGAAGGCGATTCTGCTCAATAATGCGTGATCCTAACTCCTAAATTCAAACATGTATCCCACAGATCATAACATACAATTATAAAAAAACGTCAATATACAAACCTGGCCCTTAATAGTTTAATAATTTATACTAATACATACAATTGGCGGTATGTTTTTGAAAACAACAGCTTGGTTATACAAGGCATCATAATCACGAGTTTTATTAAAAAAAGTTTGAATGGGGTTACGAATTAATACTTACAATTGAAAATATTAATATAATCTCGTATTTCATCTAAACATGGATAAAACTCGGATCTTCATTATACAGAAGACTGTCAAATACACCATACTACCAAGGTAATTATGGCGAGTTCCACATTCGTGTTATTATTGGTGGCTGTCGCTGATGTGAAAATTAATGGAAATGCCATAGTCAGAAGCCAAAGATAAGTGTGTAAGTGTGTAATAATAACAAAGTAATACTCGAAAACAAGTACAGCTAAATTATATTAGTTTGAAGCTCAAGGTTGGATATTACCAGAAGTTTTATTACTCGGTTTTATAAGCTTTTTACATTTCAGAACTTGCTATTTACAAATAAAATAATTTAAATTCATAAGTTGAGAAACACTGGTTATAGTACCAATGAACAAAACACACAAAAAAATCGATTATAAAAGCGTTAATCTTGTAGTCTATCGTGTTTATGGGATGTGCAAGCTAAGTGTCAGTTATTCTATTTTGAACATTCAGTTTTTCATCAGATAGGGTATGGCGAGTTCCGGCGTCATCTGCATCGACTTGTCTTGGCCGAGTAGTCTTCATAAAGTAGTTTCCTAGCTTTGAGGTTAATCGCT